ATTAATATAAATTCATATTATTTATTATTTTTATACAAAAGAAAAAAATAAATGTACCACGTGAATACAATATTTGGTTTGCTTCTTAATATAATAAATGCTTATTTCCAAACAAAACTTGTAACATAAGTTACCAGATTATAATAAAATGTTGTGCATATTTTTTTCATTATTATTCGCAACTACAATGTCATAAACAATTAAAGTAATATTCAAGTAGAGTCAAAATACAATTTAAAAAAAAATGTATCGAAAAACAAATGTAAATCCTACTAATTTTGTATACAGTACACACTGTTATCACTGACCAGATTTTATATTTAATGTGCATCATTATATAACAAGTTAGGACGAAGGTTAAGCATAGGTCGTCCTCCAAATAATCTTAAATTTTTTTTTTCAATACCAAGTTCTAAGTGAAAAAAAACATGCCTCAAAACATCAATCGTTCGGGGCCATTCATAGGTGCGATCGACGAAGGAACGAGTAGCGCTAGATTCTTAGTGAGTAAATTTTTTTTCTGCTGTATTTAAATTCAACAATAATAATTAACGACTGTCCGAGATATATGAATGGAACTTGAACCTCACGTAACCATGGTCATTTGATTCTATGGTAACGTTTATTTTATGATACGTTGTATCATATTTTGAATTGACATCGCTTTATATTTTATACGAAAATTGTCATTTAAAATTGTCATATATTTTTTTTGTCAATTTAAAAGCTAATTTTTTCTAATTTTTAAATTAGTTTTTCAATCATCTTTTATTCACAATTATGATAAATTTGATTTAATTTTATTCAAGAATAAGTAGTAAAATATTTGTTTAAAAATATGATAGAAAATTAATGTATGGTCTATGAAGCATAATGCAATATATCTATTTCAGGTATTTGATGTACTACATAGAAAAGTAGTAGCATCACATCAAATTGAAATTAAACAGAAATATCCACAAGAAGGATGGGTGGAACAAGATCCAAAAGAGATCTTACAAGCAGTTCGAGAATGCATAAAAAAGACTATAGAAAAATTAAAAGATATTGGTTTGAGTGTATCAGATATCAAAGCAGTTGGGATTACCAATCAAAGAGAAACTACCTTAATGTGGGATAAAAATACAGGAGAACCATTGCACAATGCAATTGGTAAATTATATGATTTACGCATGTAAAAAATGTATGCAATATACTTGGAGTAAAATTAATATCAATTTTATAGTATGGCTGGATATGAGGACAACTACAACTTTGGAAGATATATTAGATAGTGTACCAAATAAGACAAGAAACAAAAATTATTTAAAACCACTTTGTGGTCTTCCAATGTCACCATATTTTAGTGCTCTTAAAATACGTTGGCTTATTGATAATATACCACGTGTTAAGCATGCAGTAGATGAAGAGACATGTGCTTTCGGAACAGTTGATACATGGCTCCTTTGGGTATGCTAACTTATTTATTTTTGTTCGTATATTTATTATACAATTATTAGGGTTGTTAACTTAATGTTATACCTTTTTTATATAGAATCTAACCAAAGGACAGTTACATGTAACAGATGTATCAAATGCATCTCGTACTATGTTAATGAATATTGAATCATTAAAATGGGATCCTTTATTATGTCGATTTTTTGGAATTCCACAACATATTTTGCCTGAAATACGATCCAGTGCTGAAGTATATGGAGTAGTTGCAAATCCAGAAGTTCTTGCTGGTGTACCTATAGCAGGGGTATATCATTAAAATAGTGTTAACCTTAAACTTGATATGTTTGATTATTAAAAAGTGATTAACTAAATTAATGTACTCGTTTTTTTATATGTAAGTGTGTAGGTGATCAACAAGGAGCACTTCTTGGTCAACTGTGCTTAAAACCTGGGCAAGCAAAAGCTACTTATGGGACTGGTTGTTTCTTGCTTTATAATACTGGAAATGTTGTATGTGTTTACTTCACTTTATTATATTGTACAATATTTATACTATTCAACACCAATTCATTTATAAAAATGAAATGTTTAATCTTTTTAGAAAGTAGATTCCAATCAAGGTCTTATAACAACTATTGCATATAAACTGGGTAAAGCTCCAGCAACTTATGCATTGGAAGGCTCAGTAGCTGTAGCTGGAGCAGCTTTATCATGGTTGCGTGATAACATGCAACTCTTCAGTAACATTACACAGTCTCAAGACATGGCAGAACGTGTAAGATGTTCTGGAGATGTATATTTTGTACCCGCATTTTCTGGTTTATACGCACCATATTGGCAACAAGACGCACGAGGGTAAATAAATTTTAGTAATAGTGATTTAAAGTTATTATTTTTTTGGTATTACCAATTACAAGTTACACATATTTTTAGGGTAATTTGTGGTATTACTGAAGATACACAACAGTATCATATCGTTCGGGCAGCATTGGAAGCTGTCTGTTTCCAAACACGCGACATTTTAGAAGCAATGGTTAAAGATTCTGGAACGAAACTAACGAATTTACAAGTTGACGGTGGAATGACTGTAAATAATTTACTTATGCAGCTACAAGCTGATATAACGGGAATAAATGTTGGTATGTACAAATTTTTATTTATTTCTATCACTCCATAATTAATAAATTTCATTCATATTTCAATAATGTTTTTTTAATGGTTTGGATAGTGAGACCCAATATGGTAGAAACAACAGCATTGGGAGCAGCTATGTTAGCTGGTGTTGGGGCTGGGGTTATCGACATCAACGATGTGGATGCATCGCAAGTTACAAAGTTTTCACCAGCTATTGGAGAAGATGGTAATATTTTTTTAAGGTACAATAGTATAGAAAAAATAATAAAAACAATTTAATAACAATCTTATATTTTTACATTTTAGAAAGAGACTTGAGGTATTCTAAATGGAAAATGGCTGTGGAAAGGTCTATGAAGTGGGATAGCGCTTCCGCTTTAATGAATAATTGAAACAAAAGCAATATGCACCTCCCAATAATAAAAAGAAAAATAGAAAATTCAATTACATCTCAATCAAAAAAGATTGTGTAAAGATAAATGCTGAATATGAAAGTTTTAAATTTAATATATTACATTATTTAAGCGCAACAAGCTACAGGTTATAGAAAACAGGGCCCAATGTTATATGCGTAATACGTAAAATAGTTTCTCGTAAAGTAGTTACGTAAAATAGTATGGAAATAGTATATTCTTTTACGACGTGTTATATGTATATGTTTTATTAGTGAATATGTTGATTGTATATTGTTATTTCTTATTAAAGAAACTTATTTTTGCGAATAATTGTTGCTATGTATTAATACGTGTATTCTTAAATAAATATGTAATTTTAAAAATTAAAATGCATACGTAATACAAATTATATATTAGTATAATTTAATTATCACAAAATAATTTACGAAAGATGTCATAAATAGTTTAAAGGAATAAGTTATAAAAAAATTACGAAGAATTACACATTTTTTTATTATATTATTTGGAGTTCCATATTGCCGTAAACCAGTACCACGAGTTTTAAATATCTTCTTTTTCGGAGTTAAATTATTTCCATCCTGTTTGTACCAAATAATATTTCAGTTTTGTAATTGGATGTACAATGTACAAAAAATACAAAGAAAATTTTTTTGAAAACTACCTTATTTTTTTTTTCCTGTTTTTCCTCTCTCTGACTATTTGAACGCATTGCATCCTCATTTTGAGAAAGGTAAGAGTAATTTTCCGTGTATTCAGAAACCTATGAAAATCGTTTTATTTTCGCATTACTGTGAATAATTAAAAACAATAACGCTAAATAATAAATTTCACCTTAACTGGAGGGTTTAAATCAAATTGAATTTTTTTATCTTGCTTCGTTGGCGACAGTACCTATAATTAAAGCAAGTCAAAAAATTAAATTAATTTGGACAAAAAAATTAACGTTTTATACATATGACTTACATTTTCCAGTTCATTATAAATTTTTGTAGTATTGAAATTATATATATCTTGTTCCGGATTCGATATTTCACTCTTATCTCTAGATGTAATATTTGGCATACCTACACTTTTCTGACTTTGAGATTGTTGCTCATTCGTTTCATAAACTTGACTCATTTGCGTATAATTTCCTATCTCCTTAGTTACTTCTATTACGTTAGATTTTGCAACTGGTTGCACTCTTTCTTTTAAATTGCCTTTAACACGGCTTTTTTTGGTACGGTCATGTTGGAAATTTATTTGTTTATTTTCATTTTCATCCTTCATTTTATTAAAAGTTTCTTTTAATTTTGCAAAAGCAACATTTTGTGAAGCTATTGTATTCTTCATTTCTCCTAATGTAATATCGAATTGTTTTTTTAAGGATGTTACTTCTGTTTCGTGTTTTTCTTTTAATAATATACGAGCATTCTCGAGTTCCTATATGGAAAAAATGAATTTAAATTATCACCCTTTGTAATTCACTTTTACTTCTTAAAATTGTACCTGAATTTTCGAATGTTTATCTAAGAGCATTCGTTCTTTTTCTTTTTCTACAAATTCAATGTTTCTATTTAAATTCATTAAGTTTTGCTCATTGTTCATTTTCATATCTTGCAGAGACCTTTCAAGATTCAAATTACAAGCGTGTGCCTTCTTTAATTCATTTTCTACTTGTGCAAAATCGTTTTGTATTTTTTTATATTCATTGTCAATTATATTGAGATCTTTAACTAAACTAGATTCTATTTCCTGTCTTGCACTTAAATTTTCTCGAAGTCTATCGATCTGTCAAAGAAAGAAATGAATTTATGATATACAGAAGAAATGTATGAAAGAAAATTATTATATTGATATACTTCTTGTGCTCTCGACTGTAATTGCTTAGATAGTTCCTCTTCTTTGTCGGTTGATTTTTCATACTTTGCAATTAACTCCATATTCTGGCATAATAAATCTTCAATTTTATTCCTATCACAAAATTAATAAATTAAAAAATTTTAAAAACTTCAATTATTACTGACGAAAATTATAAGAAGAACATGCTCACTTGCATGTGACAAGCTCTTCTTGCAATTTTGAGATTTCTTTGTCCTTTTCCGTGAATACATTTGCCAAATTTTGCTTCTCCTGTATAATATTCTTCAATTGCACTTGTAATTCTTGATTCATCGACGTGAGGTTTTCTTGCTTCTGAAATCATCATCGCTTACAATGTTGCACACGTTTATTACATCTATGATAACAACGTATAGCGATAACGTAGGCAAAATATTTTTCTTCGAAAGAATACAAGATAGTACACGTCTTTCTGCTTAAGAAAGAAAAATTTAGAAAAAAAGAAAAAATTCCTGCAACATTGTATTCCGCACTTTTATTAGTTCTAAATTTTCCTCTGCATGAATTTTATGCAAGTGATTTTCCTCTAAAATAGACTTATTCATCTCTTCTAATTGTTTCTTCAATTCGAACTCTGCAATCATCATTTCCTGTATTCTAATAAGAAATCAAACATAAATTTAACGTTGTTATTTATTCAATAAATAATTCGTAAATTTTTCATAAATACCTTTTCTCTTGATTTATAACTTTGTTTTCGACTGTGCTAATAGTATTTTTATGTTCTTCATCTATATAAGTATATTAATCAAAAATAAAAATCAACATACAGATGCTTTATTTACCTAAAGTTTATAACAAAAGCTATGCATTTACCTTTTAATTTCATAGAACTTAATTCCTGTTGCAGCTTCTTTACTGTGGATTGTTGTTCAACGATTACGTTGTTATATAATGCTGATAGATTATCCTTGTGTTGCTGAAATCCCTTTAAACTCTCTGATATTTCATAGTAATATTTGGTAATAGATTCCCAGTCGCCATTCAATCTAAAGAAATGCATTATTATATGCTCATTTTTCTAACATTTAATTTTAATAATAATGTATATTGAACATGTTACTGTTGCAATATTTCTTCCTTAGCTCGTAACTCGGCTTCGTGAGATGCGGAGAGCAAGGAAATAGTTTCTTCAGCAGCCTGTAGCTTCTTTTGCAACTTTTGAATCTTCCGTTCTTCTATGGTACATATCCGTTTTATTTCTTCCGACATCGGACTTTCTTGTATCTATTTGTTCAATATTTACTCAATAATAAAAATCTGTTTAATATTTAAAAAGAAACTTTTTCTAATGGAATGAGGCTATGCAAATAATCATACTTCTGTTCTTTGGGACATTGGAGTTTGAACTCCTACATGTTTTGACCACTGTCCTATCAAGGTATTAACAAATTTTCCGGTTGGACAAGTCTTCTGAATTTTCTCAAGACTTTCGTTGTGAGACGACTGAATCTTCCGTTTGTTACTCTCCAATTGCGATTTTTCATCCTTCCTAAAAGATCCTAGAGTAAAATATTATATACATATCACGATATACTTGAATTTATTAAATGATCCATTTTAATTTTATATTTTATTATAAATTGATAAACACCGCCACTTTGAGGAGTTTTCACAAACTTATCAGGACTGTTCTGAGGAGTATAGTGAATTCTACGTTCAACATTCTGTGACATTATATCTCTTCTGCCGGATCCTAGAAAACAGTTATAGGTTTACTACTGTTCAAACGTAAGTCGATGAAACTTACCACTACCTCGAGGTGTCTTTTGCAATTTTTCCGGAGTTAAATTGTAAGACGAGAATTCAGATTTGGGATTTTCTTCCTCGTATTGCATTTTTGTATTTATTTTGACCACAACTAAATTGGAACGAAAATTAAACTTTGAACTTTAACGTATCTTTCGTATGATAATTATGAATGCAACAGTATACAAATAAACAAATTTTGTCTATAAAGAAATCACATAAAACGCGATTGATCTCGATTATAAATAGATTTAGAGTGACGCGTATTAGAAGCGTCTTTAGGAGTTGGCTGATTCATTTCAAACACTACTACTTAAGTAGATACAATCACTTCAACCAATATTCAATATATTAAACCGACTGGAACTGTATGAGATATCTACATCTGTTATAATCATAATATAATTTTACATGGAATTTGATCGTAATCTTTAAAAAAAAATATTAAAGGTATTCTTTTTATTACATTTCGTATAGGTGTGAATAAAACATTTTCCATTATTCTTGTCATCGTAATCGTGATAATTCTTCAGATTAGTTACCGAACGAGCCTGTTACAGTCGGTACACCGATAAAAAGTTTACGATGTACGAAAGTGATCACCGAACCATTCGATGGCGCGCTAAATCGATTGCGCATCCTCATTATCCATGTAACATCTTGTTTACTTTGTGCATCGCTAAAAACGTTGCAACCTATTTTTGTCGCTGTGATCGTGGCAATTGCAGAAGACTGGTTAAATGAATAACCAAGTTCACAACTTGCCATTAATTTAACAGGAACGTGCTGCAGCCTGAAATACCCGAAAAAATATTTACGATGCGCGAGTGTCCGGCAAAACATATCGGCGGGCTAAATCAATGGCGCAACTCCATAGCGCATGTGACATCTCGTTTGCGGAGTCTGGAATATTGCTAGGAAGGGGCCAGATATCCCTCCCTTCTTGCTGAGATGCTCGCGAACGAAAACTAAGCCAGTGTATGTGGCGCGTCAGCCTAATATTCAAGCGTAGCAGTGACAGGTGAGCCAGGGGCACATTCTCAAGCAGAAAGTTCACGTCGTCGAGATGAAGGAGCACGAGACAACGGGTGCTTGTCAAAGAAAACCGACGAAACTGAGGAACCTCATCTATAAGACTGAAGCCTTTGATTCTTTACACGCAAGAAATGCAGAGGTATATAATTAATGAAGAAATAGAATTTTTTTTCATCTTGTTTTATTCCTTTTTTTAGTTTTCTTTTATTTATTATTTTATTTTATATATAACTGCAATCTTTTATTTAAAAATCGCGTGACTTGTAATGTTGAAGATTGTACAGTAGTGGATAGCGTGGGAGTTCAAATGGGACTGTGAGTGTAGGCGAATTTGTAACGGAGCGAGTCAATACTATCGAAAATCGAGGGTTCGTTTCAGTGGCCCACTAGTTGCGCGAAAACAGGAGTGCATGTAATATGTTGTTGAAAATAGTTATGGGATTGTATTTTGGAATAATTGTGGATAGTGAACGCGCTGAAATTAAAGGAACAGTGTAATATTTTCAACGGATGTCTGATTTATATAACACTTTCTAAAATATTGAACATCCGATTAAGAATGAAACTGCTTTAAATATATGTATAATTGTCCATATATTTTGACTAGTGTGGTAACAACAGAATTTTGATTTAAATGTTACAACGTTGTTCTAATTGCTGATGTTACGTTACTTTAATGAAATAAATAGCAACAGCACGAATGGTTATAACGGAAAATTGCAAAAGTTGGAAACGTTACTGCAATATTCGAATAAAATCACTACATACACTTAAAAATTTTCTTCTTATTTCAAATTTAATATTATTAATAAAAAAGATATTGTTAAAATTTGATCTTTGGCATCTATTTCTTTTTAGAGAACATTATGCTCTGGTCGAGTATGTCTCGGTAGCGTTATGCAGCTACCGAATCATGGAACGGAGCCCCGTTCGAGAGAAGAAATTCTTGTGCACGCAAAAGATTTCCTTGAGCAATACTTTTCTTCCATCAGGAGGTATAAAATACTTAAAGTACAGTTACACATAATATTAAATTTTATTAAACAGTATACAATACTTCCTTGTTTAAAAATAGATTAAATAGCGAGGCACATCATTATCGTTGGGAAAGTGTGAAAAAGGAAGTAATAGCAACGAATACTTATCAATTAACGGAAACGGAATTGGTTTTTGGTGCTAAGTTAGCGTGGCGTAATGCTGCAAGATGCATCGGTCGTATTCAGTGGTCTAAGTTACAAGTATGTAGAAACTTGAAACAATTTTAATTATCGTCCAACAATAAAAAAAGAATATTATCTATTGTTATATACAATAAATAAATGTAAAGAACACCTTGGCTGCCTCTAAATTCATTATACATTTATATTAATTTATTATAGGTATTTGACTGCCGTTATGTCACGACAACTAGCGGCATGTTTGAAGCTTTGTGCAATCACATAAAGTACAGCACGAACAAAGGAAACATCAGGTAGTTGTTAAATTGAAAATTTAACTTTTTAAATTAAAAATTCATATTTTTTACTCGCTATATTTTCAGATCTGCGATAACAATATTTCCACAACGTACAGACGGAAAACACGATTATAGGGTGTGGAATCAACAGCTGATTAGCTATGCGGGTTATAAGAATCCAGACGGTACCATAATCGGCGATCCCGCAAACGTTGAGTTTACGGAGGTATAAAATTATTGTTCTCATGTGTTTGCTATCTTTAATTCAGAATTACTAACGAACTATTATTTTCACAGTTATGCATAAAACTAGGTTGGAAAGGTGCACGGACTCGTTTTGATATATTGCCATTGGTATTATCAGCAAATGGCCACGATCCTGATTATTTCGACATTCCAAGCGAACTTGTTCTTGAAGTTTCCCTTAGTCATCCCACGTACGTATTCCTATTTGATATCAATAAGCCGTTAAATTGTAAGTTAATTTTCAATTATTTATCGCAGATACGATTGGTTTGAAAAGTTAGAATTAAAATGGTTTGCTGTTCCCGCTGTATCTGGAATGGTGTTCGACTGTGGAGGATTGGAGTTTACAGCCGCACCATTTAATGGATGGTACATGAGCACTGAAATTGGAGCTAGAGATTTGTGTGATGTCCAACGATACAATTTACTAGAGGTTAATTTTAAAAAAATGCTAATATTCTTATTCTTCACCGAATATGAAAAATGGATTTTATTTGCAGACAATTGCAACGCATATGGAACTAGATACGAGAACGTCCACTTCGCTATGGAAAGATAAAGCTATGATAGAAGCTAATGTTGCTGTGTTACATAGTTTTCAAGTAAATATACGTGCAATAAGTCTTGTTGAAAACATTTTTACGAAAAGAGATGATAATCTTTGAATTTCTTTCAGATGAAAAACGTGACGATTGTAGATCATCACACTGCTTCTGAATCTTTCATGAAACATTATGAAAATGAAATGCGATTGAGAAACGGTTGCCCAGCTGATTGGCTATGGATCGTACCACCGATATCAGGATCGGCTACGCCTGTATTCCATCAGGAGATGGCTCTTTATCATTTGAAGCCATCTTATGACACTCAGGTCTTTATTAAGAAACTCACATATCGTTCATTGCATATTCTACTATGTAATTACGATACTTTAATTTATTGCGAAATTCTAGGATCCTGCATGGAAAACACATGTTTGGAAAAAAGGTAGAGACAAAAGATCAACGTCCAAGAAACCCAGACGAAAGTTCCATTTCAAACAAATCGCAAGGTAAAGTACTACGAAAATATAAAGTACAAAAAATTGATTCGAAAATAAACCTTCTCTACAAAAAATTTTAGAGCTGTAAAATTTACATCCAAGTTATTTGGAAGAGCTCTGTCCAGAAGGATAAAAGCTACAGTATTATTTGCCACGGAAACTGGCACATCACAAATGTACGCTGAAAAACTTGGTGAATTATTAGGACATGCTTTCCATTCCCAGGTATTCACTATTTTATTGAATATGATGCGATATTGAATTTTTATTCATTATTTTTAGAGAAATTGTGTCTGAAAAAATACTTGAAGTTAACGATTTTAGGTACTCTCCATGTCGGATTATGATATCAGTAACATAGAACATGAAGCTCTATTGTTGGTTATAACATCCACCTTTGGAAACGGCGATCCTCCAGAAAATGGCGAAGTAAAATTATTCTCTTTTTATTAAACAGCTAGAAGCTTAAATTATAGTCTGTATATACTTCTGGTTTGTACATTTTTTAGGCTTTCGCTCAAAATTTGTACGCAATGAAAATGAATGAAACATACATTAACAGTGGCAATAAAATAAGGTATTTATACACTCTTACCATTAATTTTAAAATAACAAAATTTATCAATTTAATTATAATAATTCGTAATTTCAGTTTAGCAACTTCAAAATCATTCATCAAAGCAAATAGTCAATCTGAAGTAAGCAATTCGAAAAAATTAGATAGATTGGACTCCCTTCGGGGTTCTACCACGGACTCTCAAACGGAAGACACTTTTGGACCCTTGAGTAACGTCAGGTATGTATCATTTCAGATCAAGTCACAAGTATGAAACAAAACCTACGATGTATTTCTTAGATTTGCTGTTTTCGCATTGGGCTCATCCGCATATCCAAATTTTTGTGCATTCGGTCGTTACGTGGATAACTTGTTAGGAGAATTAGGTGGAGAACGACTATTGAAATTGGCGCAAGGAGATGAGATGTGTGGACAGGAACAGGCTTTTCGAAAATGGGCAGCTGACACTTTCACTGTTCGTACTTATATTCTATATTTTTATTATAATTTATTGTAAACAATT